AATCATTGCACTGTGTATTTCAAATTGCTCATTGTGGGCTGCAGGGATGGCTCAACATGTAAGAGAGCTTGCTATACATGCAAGGAGGATCAGAATTTGGATTCCAGAACCCACATAGCAAGCCAGGTATCCAGCACATGCCTGTAACTCCAGCACCAAAGTGTGGACACAGGAAGATCCCTGGGGCTTGCTGGCTTCCATCCTAGATGAAAAAGCACAAGCTCCAGGTTCAGGGAGAGATCCTGCCTCAAATGAACAGGTGGATAGGGATAGGGGGCTACATTTGACACCCTTCTTTGTCCTCTGCACAAACATCTTAGGCACCAACTCACATACAAACACACACACACACAAATCCACAGACATACAAAAATGTATTTTATAAAATATTACATATGCACATTTTAATTTTTTAAAAAAGTTATTTCATTTTAATTTATGTGTATGTGCACATATGTGAGGGTGACCTTGTAGGCCAGAAGAGGGCATTGAATCCCCTGGACCTGGAGTTATAGACAGTTGTTAGCTTCCATGTGGGTGCTGAGAACCATACCTGTTTCTTTTAACCACTGAGCCATCACTCCTGGCCCATAATCACATTTCCTATATTGAACACAAGCATAATACTGTAATTTACGTCTACACGTTTCAGTATTACCTGCGTTTCAGCAGACATTTGCTTGCTCATCACAGGGTAGGAAAGTGTAGGACTTCTGTTTTCTTTATCTCCCCTGAAGTTCAGACATTACCATGAGAACAAGACTGCCCATCAAATCCGACAGTCACATATCTGAATTAAGAGTTAAGGATACAATATGGAGCTGGAGAGATGGCTCAGGAGTTAAAAGCCCTTGATGCTCTTCAGAAGACCCAAGTTTGGTTCTCAGCACTATGTCTGGAGGCTCACGACTGCCTGTAACTTCAGTTCAAAGGGATCTGATGCCCTCTTCTGGCCTCCTCAGGCATTCCTATACATGCATGCACACACACAGAGAGAGAGAGAGAGAGAGAGAGAGAGAGAGAGAGAAAGAAGACAGCTAACCAGTCAGTCTGAGATGGACAGAGCACTGCTAACACTAAGAACACAGCAGAGGAGAGAGAGAGAGAGAATATAAGTAAATCTTCTGGAGGTGATAGATTAATGGAATACAAAGAAACTATATTGTCTGAAGACCACAGGGTAGTTGCACATAGGAACCCACCATGTTTGTGACAGCATGCACAAGAGCTATACAAACCCAAGCCAGACAAAAATTTAAAAAACATATATGGGAAAGATGGGCAGGAAGCCCCAGCCATAACTGAGGATATATTGGCAATTGGTAGATGTTGGGAGAATAGCCATCACTTTTTTTACTGGTGTGTCTCCTGGTAAGTCGACCAACCTCTAAGGCATAGACCCACACACAAAAAGCATTTAGGAAAACCAAATTAGACTTGATAAACCTTTAGAAAAAGACAAATAATAGTAGAGGACATGAAGTTGGTGGATGGGGATTATAAAACAAAGTGGGAAGAGTCTGATTATGCTCAAAATACTTTGTATGAAATTCTCTCTTCAAGTCAATAGAAATATTTTTAAATAGATTTTTAATAAAAGAATAAGTGGTAGGAAGAGAAAAAAGGAAGAGTTAGTGAAGTGAAGAAATGGAGACTGAATTTGTTATTTTCCTGGCACAAACTGTAGATTTTACAGGACTGAATTCCCAGGGACACAATGTGATTCAACGTCCCACGCCAATACCATGGCGTGCTTGACATTGGTGGCAGTGCTCAGCTTGCCAGACAGTCTGCAGGCTGGTTAGGAGTGCAATTTCTGGCTGTGTTCCCCAGGCATAGCAATTCTCAGCCCTCCTGGAAATACCATAAACTTTTAACAAATTTCTTTAAAAAAAAAACAAATTTCTTAAAAAAAAAAAAAAACTAAATCAGCTGGAGCAAACTTCTAGGAAAACTTGCTGATGAGATGTGAGAAACCAGAGCCATTATTTAATGTGGAGAAAAGGCAGGTACTTGTCAAGCAGAGTCACAGGAGGGGAAGAACATGGGTGACCTCAGTGTACAGAGGGAAGAAGGGTAGGACAGGGAGGAGAAGACACATCTCCCTAGAGCAAAGGAAAATATACTTTTGATACTAGAAATGACTGGGTATGGCTGGAGGAGCAGGTATTAGGTAGCATTTTAAGTTAAAAGCCATGAACTAAGCAAGCTCTTATGGTAAAAATGAGGAAGAACTGGATATATGGTTGTCATGGAAAAGCAGAAAGGTCTCAGGAGAGAGGGAACCTGGACATCTCCTCCTCCTCAGATATGGTCTCTCAATATGGTAGATCCATTTCCAGTAAGTGCGCTCACATGCTGCTCTAGAGTACAGGACAAAAACCCTCCTAAACAAGTGCTACCAACAATGGTGATCTCAGAGGATCCTGAGGGTGCACAGTAAGGTCATATCTACTATCTCTCCTGCTAGATTCCTGCCAAACCCCTAACTACTCTAAGTCCTTGTTCAAATCCATCTGGTCAATAAGGCTTAGCCTGATTCACCTATTTAATACCTGTTTCTGCTTCTGGCACTCCTGATTACCCACACACAGTTATGTTCTCTTTTTTATACTGTATGTAAATATACAGCTGCTAATGTTTTTAGTTTATTCATGTATTAAATTGATTATTGTCTTTCCTACCAGAATATAAGTACCAAGACAAATGTAATCCTTGTTTTGTTATATCTTCTGAACTTCTAAAGCTGTTTAAGGCAGAAAAGCAGGGACCTTTTCCCTAGAGAATGCTGGGAGAAAATCTTAAAGGCAGTCTTTCAGCTTTGCAGACACCTGAGGCAGTTACCAGAAGATGAGATGAACAACATGCAAACCACAAAGATTAAAATGAAAGCCCAGGGAATCAAACGTCTACTGTGGCTTTGAGAAGATCTGTATTTTGAGAAAAGTGGAAGGCTCTTCCTTTGCCAGGGCTGTGCTCACATTCAAGACAGACCAGAAAATGCCCTACTGTAGCTGGTCATGAGACTGTGCACAAGAAAGTGGAAGCTAAGGCAGCTTTGTCAATGGCTGGCTGGGCACTGGAGGCATGCTCCACCATGCACACTGAGGCCCTTGGTAGAGAACTGGAAGTGTACAGGTCCTTGGTATAAGCAAATCTACATTCAGTTATAAAGTGACCACTAAACTAACTGAACAGAGACTCCACTGGCCACACATGACAAAGATTCTAACACTAGGATCCACAGTTGTATCGATCAATTCCTTATAATAAAGCTCCTTCTAGGAGATAGAGAAATGGCTCAGTGGTTGAGAGCACATACTGCTCTTCCAGAGGACTCAAATTCAGTTCCTTGTACCCCCATCAGGCAGCTCACAACTGCCTCTAACTCCAGCTTCGGGGACGCAATGCCCTCTTCTGGCCTATGTAGGTACTTGCACTCACATGCACATACACACATGCAGTGCACACACATACTATAATTAAAAAAAATAAAAATAAACCTTAAAGCATAAAATAAATGTCTGTCCATAGATAGCTATCTATCTTCTAGTTAGCCAGCTATTTACCTGTCATCTATCCATCCTCTACCCATCCATCCATCTGCTCTTGATTCTGTTTCTTTGGAGAACACTAGCTATTAGAGCATGCTCTATGATTCCTTCTTCAACATGTTCCTTTGTAAGGAGATATGGATGTCTTCATTAATATCAGCCTCCAAGTTTTGATGTCTCTTCCTATATCTAAATTTCTGAGCTGTTACTGTAGCTTATACATAGATAGATCTAAAAGTATGTTATTTGTCCAGAGGTCATCAAATCTCTGCACCACCTCTTTATGACTATGGTTTTTAAAAATTTGGTACTTAGGCAGAGTGTGGTGGCATACACCTTTAATCCCAGCATTCAGGAGGCAGAGGCAGGTGGATTTCTGTGAGTTTGAGGCCAGCCTGGTCTACATAGAGAGTGCCAGGTTAGATGGGTATACATAGTGAGAGCCTGTCTAAAGAAATAGTTTGCTAATTTTATGAGTTTTTTTTCCATTCTACAAATTGATTCATAGTGGAAAACATTAGCACCCAGAAATTTCTAGTGGAAGGAAAGTTTTTTTCTGTTAAGAGAGAAAAATGAGTTCTGAAGATTAATGAGAACACAACACAGAAAAAGAGAAAAAGTTTTGTCTCCTTACACTGGAACTTCATTCAAGAGTTCTAGACTCAAACACTGTCAAAATTTATATTACATTCCAGTGTGGCCTCTAGATCAGTTAGGTTCTTCCTATGACCCCCCTACTGCCCCCAGCCTGGCCTTGTGTCTTCCAAAGACCAGGAATGTGGAGAGCACTTAAGTTAGGAAAGACTCCAGGAAGGAAGGTAAAAGAATGTGAATGTCAGGTGCATGTCCTTTACCCATCTCTAAACATGACCACATGCATCTCCATCTGCTCTATAGACATGCACTCTATACAGGGGGATGCCTTTCCTTACGTTCATCAGTGTCCTGCCATAGTCTACCCTGTGAGCACTGCAGGTGCTAGATAATTCTCACGCTCGTTCACATTTCCACAGTACTGGTGGATTCACCCTCCAGACTTGCAGGACATTATTTAGATATCCACGTCAGACATATCTGCTTGAGTTTTGGAAAGACACCAAATAAAATATTTTCAAAAAAAATTTCAGTCATTATGGAAGAAGCAAGGGACAACTGTTAACTGGCATCACAACTTTGCAATAATATTATTTTTAGATAAGTAAACCAAGCTATTTTTAATTTTCCATTATAAGCATGTGCCACTATGTCCAGATTTTTTTTAATGTTGGTCCTGGGTATCGAACTTACATTCTCTTGCTTGTACAGCAAACACTTTACCAACTGAGCCCCCCAACTAGACCAAGACTTCAACCTCTGGTAGACATTCAAGATCCAATCCATATATAATAGTGCATGACAAATACAGATGACCAGATGTAGCCCCAACTACATAAATTAATTTAGTACCTGCTGTGCCAAACACAGAAGATATACGTTCTAGAATAGTCTTGTGGATATCAGGGTGAGATAGGATAAATGCAAGTGTCCAGAATGTGATCTGAAAAAGAAGGAAGTATACAAAATTAAAATTCCTTCAAAGTAAATAAAAGCATACTTAGTATCAGTGGTAAACAGTTCATATAAGCAAGGACAATGTTTCAATTAACCTTAAAACCATGCTATTAAATATTTCCTTTAAAACAACTAGATTTTATGAACAAGTGATATATCTCTAAGAGGCCAAATTAGTGATTTTATTCTGTCACTATGGTTTCACTATATTGTTTATATAGCTCAATCTGTCTTAAAATATTTTATTATTTTTATTTTTATGTGTATGAGTGTAATGCTTGCATGCAGGTAGGAGCACACGTGTTGTGCAATGCCCATGGAGGTCAGAAGAAAGCATCAGATTCTCTGGAACTGGAGTTAAGAATGGTTGTGAGCCACCATGTGGGTGCCGGGAATTGAACCCAAGTCCTCTGCAAGAGCAGCCACTGCTCTTAACTGCTGAGTCATCTCTCCAGCCCCAATTAATCTATCTTTACTGAAATAGAAAGGTGGGATTGTTTCTACTAATAAGCAACATGAAGTATTATACAATCATACATCAACTATTCCGTAGAAAGAAACCATAATATTTAAGGAAGTTAAAATAACACGAAACTACTTTCATAATTTAGTTCCCTTAAGATACAAATGAATTAGCTGGGAGGGGATGGGACATGCCTGTAACTCAGGCATTTGGGAGGCGGAGGCGGGAAGACACAAGTTCAAGGTTCAAACCTGTTACACAAGGGGAGTTTCACAATAGCCAGGACTACACCACAAGAATCTGTCTCAAAAATAAGTAAATAAGTAAATAACCAGAACATTTTCTTCCTTCAAATAAAAAGTGTTAATTTTAAATAATCCAAGGAACCTGTAAGAAAAATCTTATAATTTATGAGGAGTTGGAGTGTTGCTTAGTGGTAGAGCACTTGCATAGCAAGAAGACACAAGATCAGAAGTTCAATACCCAGCTCCTCAAAAACAACAGCAACAAACTTATGAGAGTGCTCCATAAGAAACATAGTCATGTCACATCTGAATGCTGAAAGAATATATTTGTAAATTCTCTCCTTTGGCCTATCAAGATTATTTCATATGTAAGTAATATGATTATTAATGTTCCATGGGAACTCAAGATAATGTATGAGTTATTTTCTACCTGCCAGTTCTTTTTAGGAGTTGGAAACCTCAATTTGGGGTTTTAAAATGAAATTGAATACAGCTGCTACTAACCTAGACTAGTTAACAGACATCTGTAGTGGAAATTACAGTAAATTTTAAGTGTCTACTATCAAGTATATTGCATCCATATTTTCAGTAGTGTGAGAATCCTGCTTCTACCCTGGATCTCTTAGCCAGCAGCTTTATCTGCTTCCGTGACTTGCTTCTTTTGCATGTGCGTCTGCTCACTAAATAATGCCCCACAACAGTCAGTTTTCATGCATACGTTTTATTCTAGAGCTAATATTTTTCTAGAGATTGGTTAATTTCTTTAAAGATTTTTTTCATGGTTGGGGGTGGCTGGAGAGATGGCTCAGCAGTGAAGAGTGTGTACTGCCCTTACAGAGAACCTGGGTTTGTTCCCAACAGTTTACAACCACCTGTAACTCCAGCTCCAGGATATCTGATATCCTCTTCTAGCCTCCTTAGGAACTGCATGTACTTGGTGCACATACATAGATGTAGCTAGATAAACACACACACACACACACACACACACACACACACACAAATAAAAAATAAAAAGCTGGGTGTGGTGATGCACATCTTTAACCCCAGCACTGGGGAGGCAGAGGCAGGCAGATCTCTGTAAGATCAAGGCTAGCGTGGTCTATATAGCAAGTTCCAGGTCAGCTGGGGCTACAGGGAGAACCTGTCTCAAAAAAGATGAATAATATTAATAATAATAAATTCATATTTTAAAATAATTATTTAAAATTGTATGTATGTGTGTATCTGTGTGTGAGTATGCTCAGGTGAGCGCATGGCCAAAGGAGCCTAGAGTCCTTGGATCCCCCTGGAGCTGAAATTACTGACAGTTGTGAGCTGCCTGAGCCATCTCTCTAGCCGCCATATGGTTAATTTTTATCATTTCTGTTTGTCAAAATAAATTAGTTTGAAAAGAAAAGAATTAGTTTATATCTTCCCTTAATATAGTACACAAGACAAAATACATATCTTAAAAGTTAGCTTCCTACTCAGTTTTTTGCTTCTAAGGTTAGAAAAATTTAGGAAACGTACAAAACCATGAAACGAAACGAATTTCATTTTCATTTTTTCTATAAACATTATTAGGAAATCAATTCTGAAATGACTCAGACAATAGACTGTGTGACAGAAGTCGTTTTGGTTTCTTTTTTAAAATTTTGGTTGCTTTTGTGAAGGAAGTAACAGGATATACCTTGAAATAATCCCAATACTCCCCCCTGTGGTCAAAAGAGGAAAAGCAATCTACTGAAGCGTTCAAACAAGGGAAACTCAACACTGCCTGTTGACATTAAGTGGGTAGCACAAGGGCGGGTCCAATACTGATACGGAGTGAGGTGACTAGCACCAAGGTCCCTGCAACACAGATTCCCTAGGACAGCATGAAGATAAGCCAAGACTTAGCCTAGGGACCGTCTTGTTCATTCGCACACACTACCGAACGCTCCCCTCTTCTCTCCCAGCTCAGGGCCTTCCACCTACTAGCTACAGACGAAAGTGCTAAATTATGGGATTTAGTTAAGAATCTCTCCAAACTCAATACATCTTATTTGAAGAGACAGTTCCCATTGGGGGAGGAATCTCAGCGATGGTGCATAAATCTTCAGCAGCACCCTAATCCTATTTGTCTATCTATGGTTTTAGAGAATCACTGAAATCTGGGACTTCTTATTTTATGGAAAACACAAGGAATTCATCTAAATAGCAAGTGGATGGACAATGGTGTTAAGTGCCTTTTTCCTTAATGGACTTTTCATTTTAAGAGTCTGCTATTTTCTACCTTTAAAAAAAAGTACTTTTGACCGGGCGTGGTGGCGCACACCTTTAATCCCAGCACTTGGGAGGCAGAGGGCAGGTGGATCTTTGTGAGTTCGAGGCCAGCCTGGTCTACATAGTGAGTTCCAGGATAGGTGGGGCTACAAGGAGACCCTGTCTCAAAAAGACAAAAAAAAAGTACTTTTGAAAGGGGTGTGGTGCTACAGGACTGTAATCCCATATTTGGGAAGTAGAGGAGGATAAGGAGTTTCAAGATCAGTCTACCCTATACAATCATTTTGAGGTCAGCATGGGCTACATGAGACCTGACATCCCCTCTCCCCCTAAAAGGAAAAAACACTGTCTTCTTAAAAATGAGTAAAAGGAGGCTAGAGAGATGGCTCAGTGGTTAAGAATACCTCTTGCCCTTGCAGAGGATCTACCTTCAGTTCCCAGAACCCACGTGGTGGCTAACAACCACCTGTAACCCCAGTTCCAGGGGATCTGATGCCCTCTTCTTGCCTCTGAAGGTATTACACTCATGTGATGCACATACATACATACAGACAAAACACTCATAAAATCAGGCATTGTGACACATGCCTATAATCCTAGATTCCACTTAGGAGACTGATACAAGAAGACCATGAGTTCAAGGTCAGCCTGGGCTATATAGGGAAACACTGTCTCAACAAAAAAAAAAACAAAATAAAAACTAAACAAGATAGGTAAATGATATTAAGGAGTTAATAAAATGTTTATATGTAATACTGAATCAAAAATCCATAATGAGTGGCCCCACTCATATTTGGGAAAGGACTTCAAAAATGCTGCTCTGTGAAGCAACAATTAGGTATATGCCAAAGGGGTCAAGTCCATGGTCAGAGCTTGGCAAAAAGAAGAACTACCACCTGGTCACTGAACTGCAAAGCAGCTACACAAAGTGTCTCCACTATCTGGAGAGTTCAGGACAGAAGTGGGAAGGGACAAAGAGAGCTCTAAGCTGGCTGGATTCTGAGGAAATGAATCAAGTTTGTCCTTCAACAGGGTCTATTCATCCATCCAAAAAAGAGATTTGAGGGCTGGAGAGAGGGCTCAGTGGCTAAGAGCACTGGCTTCTCTTGCAGAGGACCTGGGTTCAATTCCCAGCACCTACATGGTGGCTAGCAACCATCTGTAACTCCAGTTCCAGGGGTCCCATACCTTCTTCTGACCTCCCTGGGCATTGCACAGCATGGGTGCACTTACATACATGCAGGCAATACACTCATACACATAAAAAATAATTTAAAATTTTTAAAGAGATTTGATAAATATTGATAGAATCTTGTAATATATACTACACGGGTAAATTTGTCATGTGCTGTTTGAGCTCACTAAGAATTTGCCTCTGGAAGTGAGGATGTCATCCCACTTCAGACCCAAGCATATATGTCTATGTCAAATGACCTCCAAGACCCCTCTTCGGGGACTGCACTGCCCTCCCCAGGTCAGTGCAGGGAAGAAAAGAGACAGCAAGAGAGCCTAGGCGTGAGAACATTACACTTTTGAGAACACCTAGAAGGTAAACCATTTCCATCAGACATAACTACTGCGTGTCCATGATGTCAAAGTGCCCGCAGTGGGACTGAGAAGCCAGAAGTTTAGTCATGGGAAGTCCATCCATGGAGAGGAAGCTCAGTTGGGAGCTCTAGCTGACTACCTCAATTTTCCTAGTCAATTTCTGATAGACATTGTGAGTGCCCAATTTGATGAAGTCATGTCTATATGCTGCTATTTGTGTTTTTACTTGGAAACTTCACCCAAGGGGACACTAGTCTGCCTAGAACTCTCTTTGTAGGGAACCCCAGATGGCTACTTTAAAGGAGCTTCTCCAGTAGATTTCTGCTGGATGATTGAGCACCCAACTTAATGATGTTTGCCTAGTTGTCTGTCTATCTATCTATCTGTCTATCTATCTACCTATCATCTATCTATCATCTATCTATCTATCTATCAATCATCTATCACTACATATCTATCATCTATATCTATCATTGATCTCTATCATCTATCATCATCCACTCATCACTTGCTATTTATTCTTTAACTTGCTACATACTTAGTAAACTTATTCATTCAAAACTGAATACTGTGGCTGTCATAGAGCAGTCCCTGGACTGTGCAGTACAATCTCTACAACATGCCAGACAACCTACCAATCATGGTAAACACAAATACATAGGAATCAATTCCTGCCCAAAGAACTTTCATATTTAGCTGGAAACGTAAGCTACATACAAGAGAAAAAAAAAAAAGAGCTCACTGTGCAAGACCATATACGTTCAATGATATACATGTATGATGATGTCATCAGGAAACCCAAAACCCATTGTTTCATACATTTAATAAAAGAAAAAATAATTAAAAGAACTAGTGGCTGGGCACATGTGGTCCAGACAATAAATCAGAGCAAGATAAGGCTGTGATGGTTGCCAAGCATAATTTCAAAGGACTTCAGAGGGAAAAAAAGATAAAAGTCTACTTTGACATTGCTTCAGAGAAATGTTCTAGAAAAGTCATTTGACTCTCAGAAATTTCTTGGAATTAGGAAATGGCCTTCCCGTGGAAATAATCTTATAAATTAGGGCCAGTACCTTGAGAAGTTTCTCTAAAGCACAGGTAGACCACAACAGAGCCTACTGGTGAGCTGGTAGCAAGCTTATCTAAAACCAGGGTGACAGAGTGCAAAGTAGGGGGGGAGTACTGATGCTATCTGGGCTGGAGATAGGACATGCACTCCATCAGTATCTCTGGCAGGTGGTCTACAGAATGAGAAATCCTAAAAGCCAAGGCAGCAGAGCCCATCCTGGGACTTTGAGAACCCAGGGCAGTCTATACTCATTCTTAATGAGCCACTGGATAAAGTCTTTGATTTTTAACCAGGGGGATGGTTTCATGATGTGAAAGTACCACTTACTGAACAACATTATGCCAGATACAGTTAGGCACTTTACACTGATTCTGATTAAATTCTCCTAACCATTCTTGGAGGCAGTTTTCAGCAATTCTGCCTCAGACGAGGACACTGAGGCAGGCTGGGAGGGGTTAAACAACTAGCCTTCTGCTGGGAACTGGCTTTGGACCTGACATTAAGGTCTCTGCTCTCAAATCAGGCTGCCTCCAAGAAGTGCCAAGAGCCAGCAAGATGGAACAGTCTCTCATCATCAGATGCTTCCTTTCTGAAATGAATTATTTCAATCCTTTCAGGCCAATACCAGGGTCAAATCCCAAAGAACTGACTTCCTCTGTCTCTAATCAATAGCGCTTTGTGAGGCTTTCTTCCGGGGGACCTTTCTAATGAGATCTTGAAAATTAATCCTCTGACTGGAGGGGTTGTTTGTGGCTTTGGGACAGCTGTTTTGGTGGTTTCTCTTCAGTTTTGCTGGAACTTAATCTGTTTCCCAGATCAGTTAAGAAAAACCAGAGAAAATATTAGAGGCAAATAGAGAAAGAAATTAGGTTATTTTTTATGTGACTGCCATTGATGAAATACATATTCTCCTGGGTGACACACATTTGAGCAGAGAGGACAGAATATCTGTCTCTGCCAATCTTAAAACAGATTAAAAGAAAGGAAGACACAGGGACAGATAAGTCCTTTGGCCACTTGGGCCTTCAACGCAGGATGGAGAATTAAGCAACATAAATATCATCTTTATTTCTGTTAGAGAAAAAGAAAGAGAAATAACCACATTGAGCATCAGAGATGGGATGAATGTTCCTGTTTCATACTAACTTAATTAATCAATTAATTAGAACAAGTAAATAAAAATAAATGGTATTATTTTAGGTCTCTCCTATCTTTTGGTTTACAGTGAACTCTGGTGCCACAGATTCCATTTACCAGGAAGCTCAAAGGACCAAAATGCCAAGAAACACACAGTGTCCATACTTGGGAGGAGCATAAAAACTCACGTATATTGGACACCAGCTGGCATATCTTGGTGGATCCTCACAGACTGTAGAGAATTGAGTAGCCAATGCCTAAGACCATATTAAGAGTTTCATATTCTTATACTCAGTCAGTCTCAGTCTCTCTCTCTTCTTTCTCTTTCCCCTTCTCACCACCCCCATTAGTATAGGGCTGAGGCCAGACTACAGCCTGTCACAGTCAGGACTCTTTAAACAGGTAGTACCGCTGACCACAAAGGGTGAGCTTTCCTCTGAGCCCATTCTATGTGGCACTTCAGAGAGTGGGATTCAAAGGGTGAGATTCTCTATAGATGCAGGTTTTGCCTCCTTAGCATTTTGTTTTGTTTTATTTTGCTGGGTATGTGGAAGCAGTTATGTGTGTACATGTTCAGGCGTCGGTGTGGGTTTGTGTGCATGTGTGTTCATGCCTGTGGAGACCAGAGTTGACATCAGGTGTCTTCCTTAATCACTCCTCACTTTATTTACTGAGGCAGGGTTTCCCACTGAACCCAGAGCTCGCTGATTAGGCTACTTCAACTAGATAGCCTTGCCCCAGAGACCCCTGGTCTCAGCCTCTCAGGTGCTGGGATTACAGGCAGTCTATCACACCCACCCAGCATTTATATGGGTTCTAGGGATCCAAACACATGTCCTCAGACTTGTGAAGCAAGCATTTATTTACCTCCCCAGCCCTCTGGTCATATGTCATTACTCATCCAGTTTGTTGTTTATCTTATGATCTAAGACACTGCAGGCTGCTCATCTACCATTATTAAGTACAAGGACTGAAGGCCAAAAGAATGAAAAGACTAAATGAAAAGCAAACAAAAGTACAGGAGATGGGAGTGAATCCCATCCTTTCTCAGGTACTTACAGGAGCAGCATTAGCCAGAGAAGCCCAAAGCATTGCGAGCCCATAATTTGGACTGTGTTCATGTGTTTCCATCTCTACAATATCCAGCACAGCCTGTATTAGTGTCTGTGTAAAGGAATGGAATATTGTTAAACCACAGGTATGTCACAAACGCTGATGTTCATAAACAACAAATTGCTCACGTTGTTCTCTGTGTGTATAGTATGCAGACTGGTTAGTGTGGGTGTCCACACGTGTGTGCAAACACACGTGTGTGCAGGTTCACGTGTAGGTGGAGGTGTGAAGTCAGCACCAAGTGCCTCCATCACTCTCTGTCTTTGTTTTTAAATTTTTCTTTTTAGACAAAATCTCTCACGACCCAGAAGTTCCTCAGTGCAAACAGACTGGTTGGCCAATGAGCTCCAGGAATCTTCCTGCCTCTGCCTACTCAGTGCTGGGAGTTACATGCCTGAGTCACCAAGTTGGGATTTTTATGCAGGCTCTGAGGATCCAACACAGATCCTCACATGTGGGCATTAAGCACTTTAGCAACTGAACCATCTCTCAAGGCCCTAGAATCATTCATTTTTCTTTAATTCAAGACACATTGTTTCTGCTATTTCTGACTTGTAACTTGAGACATGCTAAATTACCTGTACACTTCTAGGAAGAGAGGCTCCATTGGAGCTCAACTACTTGCTACCTTGATCCAAATCCTGCCTTCACTATTAAGAAAATGAACAATCATGCATAAATCACTTTCATCTCCCAATGACTAAATTTCCTTATCCATAAGATGGCCATAGTATGCTATCTAACTCATAAAATTGTTACAGGAATTAAATTCATGTAGTTGCCTGTGAGATCAAGGCCAGCCTGGTCTACATGGGGAGTTTCAGGCCAGCTGGGGTTACAGGGAGACCCTGTCTCAAAAACAAACAAGCAAACAAACAAACAATCCATACTTCTCCTGGACTAGGCATTAAGAGAACTGCATGGACCATAGTGTAGTAGTTTTGCTTCAGAGTCTATGACACAGAAAATAACTAAATTACTACCTAATAAAATATATGACAACAGAAGAGAATTGGTTTTAATGAGGCATATAACTTTTCCAGACTGAATAACCACACTAATTTCAGTTTTCTTGATATTAAAGTTGTTTGGGTAATATTATGCCTATCTCAGAGTCAGTACCCCATGAATGTTAGCTGGTGTGTCATTATCATTTCTGTAATGATGGAGTAGCAGAAGGGAAAATGGTTTTAATTAGAAATTTTATTTACTGCTGCTCTTTCTCACATTTAAAATGTGAGTTGTTACAAGAGTAAACTATACCTCACAAAAATCCTACACATACATTTCATTCTTTGACAAGCTATCTATGATGTAGTGATAACTTTAAGTGGTCACATTAGTATAATGCATATCTACAATAACATTTGTGTTAGTGACATTTACTATATAGCTAAAAATGGAAATTTTCCATATCATTTTTTGGAGGGTGGGTTTTGAGACAGGGTCTCCTTGTAGCTCCAGCTGTCCTGGAACTCACTATGTAGACCACACTGGCCTTGAACTCACAGAGATCTGCCTGCCTCTGCCTCCTGAGTGCTGGGATTAAAGGCATCTGCCACCATGCCCGACTTTCCCTATCATTTTTAAATACTAAAATATTTGAAGCATCTTTCCACCTAGGGATTGAACCCAGGACCTCAGATGTGCAAGACAATCAATCTATTACTGAGTATATCTCTTTTAACTTTGAGACAGGGTCTCACTAAGTTGTCCAGGTTGGACTTGAACTCCCTCTGTAGCCCAGGAAGGCTTTACCTAGCCTTGTAGGAGGAAGCGCCTAATAAGGACATGTGAGTTACTATATATGGGAAATAAAGAAACTCAACTGTAAAGGAAACTAGCAGAGGCTATAAGGGGCCATGTCTTTCTTTGAGGCTCTGTCTTTTGGGTATGAACCCAGGGAGTTGGGTGCTAGCATAATAAACTGCTTCTGGAGAAAATAAAAGACTCCCTGTCTCTTTCTCAGCACAGAGCACTACAAACAAACATAAATCAAAATGGAGGCACTCAAGCTAAAGTCCAAGTCACCAGATGGAAGAAGTTGCTTTCTGAACTTCCTAGACATTAGGAGAATAGTAAGACTGACAGATTTTCCCCCACAAGACAATAGCTTTGACAATAAAGTTGCCTCTGTCTTGCTCTGTATCTCCTTGAATAACCCAATGTTAACCAGCCAGTTACGGTTTTATTTTTCTGTCCTCAGTCTTACAAAGAAAACAACTTTACTATGACCACCCACTTTAAGTTCTTTGCTTCCAGCTCTATTCTATAAAATCAAGAATATAGAATAAATGCTACAATATCTATTCTATTGTATGAGATGAATTTTCTAATTCTCAAATTGAAATATGAAGCAAACTAAGGACTTTATGCTATCATTTTGGCCTTTGGCAGTTGAGTGACAATACATAAAGAACTCCGTAACTTTATTTTATTTCATTGTTGGTGGTAGTATCAGTTTTGTTCTTATATAGAATAGGATCCATACCTCAGTGTTGTACAGACACAATAATAAAATAATGAATTCACATACCCAGTATATTACTTGGCACAAAAATTATATCTAATTAAATACATTTCTTTAGCAAACAAGTTTTATTATAATCATAGCTTATTGCCATCTCTATCACATATATTTTAGTTGTAGAGAGAAGGATACTTACCCTAGAATTACCCTTTGCAGATTTATGTGTTTTTATTTCCTGAACATTTGTCTGAAACAGTGCTAGAAGCCACCTTTTGGATTTTGACCAGTTTCTGTAAAAAAAAAAAAAAATGTGTAGGTATTGATTATAAACATGTTAGGAGTGACAGGTCACATCATAAAAGGGGGCAATGTCTGTAGAAGTAGAATCATTTCCCAAATTTCCTCTTCATTTTCAGTAAGAATTTCCTAAGACATCTACCTCTGAATTATTAGCCCACAGGGAATGAGGGGGTAAGATAATTGCATTTTAGTGTCTTTTGTAAATAGGTGTTGTAAATTTCTATTGGGTTGCCTTTGAAGGAGAAAATTGTGCATGCATAGCTTGGTTCACATTTACTTTGTCTGTTCTAAGTAGTGATGGGATGTAAGTCCAGCATAAGTGCCAAATGCTGGATTAAGTAAAGAAAGTCAACTGGCTATCATCAGTGTATTCTTTTCTGACCATCACTAGAGTCCACTGCCATGATCTGGTGTCCAATTCCTCAACAAAATCAAATGTTGACATTCTCATCCCATAGAAGATGGTATTAGGGAGTGGGATCTCAGAGATGGTGTTTGTAAGATGAAAATGAACCACCGATAAATGGGATTGGTGCCTTTATAAAAGAAACTCAGAGCACGTGATGCCTCTTCCACTTTGTGGCCATAGTAAGAAGTTGCAATGTGCCACCTAAATGTGCTCTAAATGTGCCCCTCCCTAGAACCCTCCCACCTGGTACCCTGGTCTTGGATTTCAAAATCTCCAGAACTGTAGGAAATGAATTCTTATTGTTTGTGAGCCGTAGGTGCTTGTAGGTACCACCCAGTCCATAGTACCTACAATTGTCCAAATGGGATTAAAACATGGATCAACTGCCAAGAACTTCTATTTTTAATGCTGTTATTTTACACTGGGATCATTTTACAAATATTTATCTGAGCCAACCGTGAGAAAGACATTGACCATGCCTACTTTCACCTTAGTGAGAAAGGGGCCAAGTTAGCACAGATCCAATCAATTTCATAACAATATGTTGTAAGTGGGATAAAATTGAAGCAAAGTGTCTTGTTGCTTCACATAGGCAAAATGGTCTCACCCTGTCACTACTTAGAACAGACACCGTCAAGAACAAAGAGAGAAGAAATGTTTGGATCCTTCCTTGCTTTTTCTTTCTCTACTCTTTACTTGTAAATTTTTTAACTGAATTTCTGTGTATTTCATACAGAACATCTTAGTCAATCTTAATCATCTTTATACCCCCTCCCCACTGGCACCCTCCCATAGCCTCCTGCCCAACTGGAATTCATTCTGTCATTTGTGTTAACGCCTATCATGTCAAGTCAGTGTCTCCAGAAGTCCCTCAGTGCAAGCTCATCCACTGGAGTCTAGGATTGCCTAGAGCTCCGCCCTTTGAGAAGATCAGCTCTTCTTCACCCAGCAGTAATCAGCTGCCAATAATTCTTCGATTAAGATTGGGGCTTGTTGCCCATTTCTACCATTCTGTGCTGGGGTTTTGTCTGCTTGAGTTTGCATAGGTCTTGAGCATGCTGACACCATTGCTGTAGGTTCACACGAGCAAGGTCCCAGGACCTTGTAAGACTCTATTTCCATGGGCCCAGAGAATAGTGCCTCTCACAATGGGATGTGCCAATCAAGATAATCACCTATAGACATGAGCCATAGGCCAACTCAATCTAAACAGCTGCTCAATTGAGACTCTCTTTCCAGGTGATTCTGGATTATAACAAGCTGGCATTTAAAGCTAATGGTCACATCTGTCAAAGACCCTACCTCAAGAACCATTCCGGCAGTTGGGATCCATACTCAAAACCCTCGTCGTAAGTTTTAAAATGCTGGTAGAACTCCTTGACTTTCTTCTCATTTGTGAAAAACAAGCCTTTCTTAAAGAGAGTATTGATTGTGACTGGATAAAGAACATACCTACAAAGACAGAGGCACACAGGAAGTCAGACCAAGTGGCCCCAAGGAAAAGATTAAGATACAAAAGATGTATTACTTTAAACTGATACATTAGCAGTAGATTATATGTGACAGATCTTTGGGGAAAAGCCAATCTTAAGAACTTTTAATACTTGCTAATGGAAATCAAGCTATAATTCAAGGATGATTGAAACTGTAAATTTATTTATCGGAATAATTTTTAATAAAAGTATCACTTCATTGCAATGAACACACAAACGATGCTATCCTTTCTTTTTTAAAAAATAAGATTTATTTTATTTTTAATTATGTGTATATGTGTGCAGTCGGGGAAGGTATGTGCACATGAGTGCAGGTGCTCATGGAACTCAGAAGCATCAGATCCTCAGGAGCTGGAGTTACTGATAGGTGTGAGCTGCCCAATGTGGGTGTTGAAAACCAAACTTGGGTTCTCTGGGAGAGTAGAAAGCACTCCTAACTGCTGAGCCCTATCTCCTACCCTCCTTTCTAAGGAAGCACATTAGAGGTAGATAAATATGAAATGATAAATATTGCAATTCAATTGAGCCAGGTGTGGTGGCACACGCCTTTAATCCCAGCACGTCACTTGGGAGACAGAGGCAGGTGGTTCTCTGTGAGTTCAAGGCCAGCCTGGTCTACATAGTGAGTTCCAGGCCAGCTGGGGCTACAGGGAAACCTTCCTCAAAAATATCAAAAAACAATTACAATTTAATAAGTAACAATAATTAAAAGAGCACACGTCTTTAGATAATAGCAAATAGTCACTAAAGAAACTAAAGGCAATATTATTAAATTTCCCAATTTCTCACAGAATTCCACATATTCAAACTACTGCCTATTGAAATACAATGCTTAGTGATAATTTTAATGTTTATAACATACTTAAAGTATGATTGAATTGCTTATTTGCTCACCATAAAATAAGAATGCTAAACATTAAATAGAATTTAAAAGATTTTTAAAATATCTTACTTATTATTTTGTGTCTATGAGTGTATTGCCTGCATACACCTGTGCATAAGTGCACCTGTGTCACACAATGCCCAAGGAGGACAGAAGAGGGTGTCAGATCTCCTGAAACTGGAATTATGAACAGTTGTTAGCTGCCATATGGGTGCTGGAAACCAAACCTAGGTCTTCTGCAAGAGCAGCCAGTGCTCTTAACTACTGAGCCATCTCTCCAGACCCTTCAAAGATTTTTCTAAAGTCTCCTAGTAGCCAAGTTATATGGGGTGCATTAATGTACCAGGTGAATTTTGAAGTTCAATGTATTGGTTCTTATTTTTGTTTGAAGATTAAAGCATCCATTTAACTATTTACCTTACTAAGTCATTCAAGTCCGTTGTTCCATGACTGCCTAAGTTTTCCAATTGTTCGTGGAACTCTTCAACCAGCTGCTCCGTAAATTGATGAATGTTGGCCATCCCCAGCTTCCCTTTCATTATAACATACAGTTTTTCATGCAGAGTAAAAAAGATATTCTTTGGAATCCATGCTTAAAAGAGAGAAAACTATTTTTAAAAGAAGCAACCACTCCTTATGGTGTAGAGGCCGTATACCTCTGTTGTTACTTGGCCAGTGGGGACCATTAGCAAAGCCCTCTTGGTCTATAAAAATCACCTCCTTCAAATGAAAGCACACAGAGATTCCACCACTGCTGTCAAACAGCAACAGTCTGTGGCGGTTCACTTCACTTGATGAGATAATCTGTAAATGAGCAATTGAGAGGGCTGGTATTTCCAACTTCTCCTTCCAAATCTATTTTACATTGTAAAGCATTCTCAGATGCTATTCTATATACTGAAAACACTCTCTACCACACAAACCCCCATTTCTCTCTCTCTCTCTCTCTCTCTCTCTCTCTCTCTCTCTCTCACACACACACACACACACACACACACACACACACACACACACATTGATAGCCCCAAATTTCTCAAAGCTTCTGTTTATCGAGGTGGACATGGTGGTGAATACCTGTAATCCCAGCATTTGAGAGGCAGAGACAAGTAGATTTTTGTGAGTTCAAAGCTAATATGGGCTACACAGTGGCCAGGGCTACATAATGAGATAGTGTCTCAAAAAGAAAGAAAGGGGGATGGAAAGATGGCTCAGCAGTTAAGTAAACTTGTTGTTCTTTCAGAAAACCCAAGTTCAATTCCCAGCACCAATATGGCAGCTAACAACCATCTGTAACTCCAGTTCCAGGGGATCCAACACCCTCTTTTGGACTCTGTTGGCATTGCATGCCAGTGGTAAACTTATATATATGCAGGCAAAACATTCATACACATAAAAGTAATAAATAAAATATTTTTAAAAAGAAATAATTTATAATCATTCTTTTGTTTGTCTTCTTGAATACACTGCCCCCACCCCATTTCCTTTCTAGACATATTCATGTTCCTTCTACAAGAGGAACTTCTGATTAGGTTGATGTAGTGGGCCCATGACCATTTTTTTTAACTGACATCTTTCTCTTGTTCAATTGTCTTTGAAGTAGTTTTTTGAAAAATAATTTTTGGCTTTGTGTTTCACAATTCTGTTAAGCATAAATTAATTTAAAATAACTTTATATTTCCTAAGCATGGTAGTGGACTATAAGACAGGAAAGAGAAGCTGACTCAGGTATAAATGGGAACAGACTGAACCTATTAAACAGAAATAGTCAAACAAGAAAAGGCTCAGGGGAGGCCAGAGGGGAACATTCTCATAATGTCCATATACCTCTAGCAGGTAATTTAGTATAGTTTACCAAAGAAATATGCTACTATATAGATCAACAGCCTTCAAAATAGTTATGTTATTGGGCTGGAAAGATGACTCAGCAGTTAAGAGCACTGGCTGCTCTTGCGGAAGACCTGGGTTTTGTTCCCAGCACCCACATGGCAGCTAACAACCATCCATAACTCCAGTTTGGGGAGATCTGATGCCATCTTCTGGCCTCTGCAGGCATTGAACGACATGGTTGCACTTGAATACATGCAGGCAAAACACATATACACAGAAAAAAACATTTATACTCATCAATCAGGAATTCCATAGCTCAGTTAAATAGTAGTGAGTTTAGCCAATGCATTGCAATTCTTTCAGTGGAATCCAGAAGGAAAAATTAACCATGCTATGAATCACTGAAAGGTTTGCAAACAATTATTTCTTGCTTAATGCCAAGAAATGCATGACAGAGTACAGAAACGGAACCCAAGGGAGAGGGGGAAATAAAGAGGCAGTCATCTAACATCTTTGTCAAAGCAAGCAGCAAGAAAACAGAGAAAAGAAGAGGGCAGGACAGGATGTGAACCTGCTCTGCGTTCTGGGGAGGATGGAGCCTGGGGAGCGAGGGAGACACAGCCACGCCAGGGGCGCACTCACCAGTCCTATCTGGCAGTCCTGAGAATAGATGGGAGTTGTGAGAAAGAAGAAGCAGTCCAGATAACCTGTCCAGACGTAAGGGCTGTGTCAGGACAGGCCATTATAATGGTGTGCTTCCTAAGCAAAAGGACTCTACTCCAGGGATGCAGAAGAATAACACTTCATCAAGCCAAGAGTTGTAGCCATCACATACACAGCAGTAGACAGAGGCAGTAACACCTCGGGTAATGGAACATGGCAGAGATTCCAAATATTCTCTAAAACACACCAGTGAGGGAACCACATCTTATTTACACATATAAATGAAACCTAAATGTAGTAAACTGCCCACAATTTGTTTTTCAATGACCCAATTTATCATCTACATTTCTCTACTTCTTGACCCACTTTTAAGAATAAAATAATGGCTGGAGCTGGAGAGATGGAGCACTGGTTGCTCTTGCAGAAGACCTGGATTCAAATCCCAGCACCCACATGGTGACTAATAATCATCTGTAACTGCAGTTCCAGGGGATCCGATGCCTCTTCTGTCCTCCACCAGTACTGCATGACATGGATGCACTTATGGAGAGGCAGACATAAGTCATAAATAAATAAATAAATAAATAAATAAATAAATAAATAAATAAATAAAATAATGGGTCTTCTGTTAAAGTCCATCAAAGTTCAGTTCATTCATTCAAACATTTATTGATCATTAACTATTATACAGGCAAGGTTTCTCTTGTCAGAATGAAGAGCAGAAAGAAGACCGTGTGTGTGTGTATGTGTGTGTATCTTTGTGTGGGTTTGTGCACAGAAGTGTAGTGCCCACAGAGGCCAGAGGTATTGGATTCCCTAGAACTGGACTCACAAGCTGTTGTGAGCCACACTTGTTGAGTGCTGGGAAGTGAACTCAGGTCTTCTGAAAAACTCTTAACCACTGGGCCACCTCTTCAGTCCCACCATTGTTGATAGATAACCAAGGATATAATTGTTACCTAAAACTACTCTTGGGTTTCAAAGTTGTAGTTTAAAGGAGCTCTCTGAAGATATTACCTGTATGATAGACGGGATCTTGCACAGCTTGTTCAAAATCTACATTCTTAGATTTTAGAAACGTGTCAATTCCCTCTTCTTCAGTAACAAAGGTCATCCGTTTTCCCATAGCACAAATGGTAAATACTGGTCCGCACTAAAGTAAAACACAGAAACACAGACCATATTAGCAAGCATTTCTAAACCACAGGTTATATTTAAGACAATTTTCCTCAAGAATATCTATGATGATGTTATGATGCAAAATATCTGGTAGTTATTAGAAATTCTGTTTAGGCCACATTTAAATTGTATAAATATTAATTTATTTTGTTCTAAAATGTGAATAAGCTAGCTACTATTTACTTCCATCTTCTTTTTTGATCATTAAAAATAATAACTATAAAATGCATCAATGCTATGATATTTGAACATTATTTTCAAAATATCAATAAGCTTATAAGCAATGTACAGCTCAACATTGCTCAAGAAAAAGATACAAAGCTGAGGAGAGCCGAAGGCCGCAGGGGCCAGCTCGCTTTAAGACAACTTGGTGCTGACATGGGTCAAGATGGTTAACAATGGACATCAGGGCACCATGAGTCAGCAAACAATGGCTGAAACGGATGTCCAGGGAACTCAAAAGAAATGATATCGTCTATTATATAACCATTTCTGGAAATGCCACTTTCATGTGATTCTGCATAAAAGTGGCCTTGAGACCAAGGGGTAACACCTTCATCTTGACCTTTTTTCCTTTTCCAGGTAGCCTGTGTAGGATTGTGCTATGTGGCCTGTGTGCCAGTGTGTATGCATGTGTCTACCTTCGTGCATCCCATATACTGGTGTACTTGTGGGTACCTGGCAATATGTGTCTAGCTAGCAGCCTGTGTGATGGTGAACAAGTTATGTCTTTTCTATCTACAACTCCTCACATTCTTTTCAAACATATGCCTCCCCTGACCCTCCTCCATTCCTGCCGTTGGAGCTCAGACCCCATAAAAGTATCTCTTCCTTCTCATACGGTATTGATATTTTTCCTTCTCTCTCAGATCATCTACAATGAGTGATCCACATGAAGTTTGCCTTCTGGGGATCTGCACCTTAACTGTCAATGTGACAGCCTAGAGTCACTGAAAAAGAGCGTCTCAACTGAGGAATGCCTAAATCAGACTGGCATGTGGGGAATTATCCTAATTGTTCATTGATGTATGAGGGTCCAGGCTACTGTGGGTGGTACCATTCCCCAGACAGGTGGTCCTAAGCTGTATAGGTAAGCTAGCTAAGTCAAGCATGCTGGCACACATCTTTTATCTTAGCACTCAGGGGGCAGAGACAGGTGGACCTCTTGAGGACAGCTTGGTCTACATATCAAATTCCAGGCCAGCTAGAGCTATGGGGAGACCCTGTTTCAAAAAGAAAACAGCAATTAATGAAAGAAATGAAGGAAGGAATAAAGGAGGGAAGGAAGAAAATTAGCTAAGCATGTGTGAACAAGTCAGCAAGCTGTAAGTTCTTAAGTTCTACAGAGACAGGGTCTCCCTGTAGGCTGAGCTGGGGTGGAACTCAGTATGTAGACCAGGCTGGCTTCAAATTCACAAAGATCTGCCTGCCTCTGCCTCCCAAGTGCTGGGACTAAAGGCATGCACCATCTTGCCCAGCTCTGTTCTCTTTTTTTAATGTAATGTCAGCAGCTATAGTGTTTGGAAGTAAAGACAAGCACCCACTGTATGTGTTTAGGCATAACAAAGTCTATACTGCAGACATATCCCATGTTCTCATTACCTTGTTTCCCCCTGTGTTAACACCTTTTTTAAAAAATTATTATTTTTATGTTTATGAGTGTATTGTCTGCATGTATGTAAGTGTACCCGTGATGTGCAATACAGGAGGAGGTCAGAAGAGGGCTTCTGGAACTGGAGTTACAGATGGTTGTTAGCCACCATGTGGGTGCTGGGAATCAAACCAGGGTCCTCCACAAGAGCAGAAAGTGCTCTTAACTACTGAGCCACCTCTCCAGTCCCCTATGTTAACATCTTGAAAAACTATAGTAAAACATCACAAGCTGCCTTTGAACATCATGCAATCAAGATACTCCATCACCACAAGGCCCTTTCCCATCAGCTTCCTGCAGCCACACCCACACCCTGCTCATACCCCCTTCTTCCTTAACTCTTAGCAACTGATGATTTGCTCCCCATTTCTGTAATTCTGAATTTCAAGAATACTATTTAAATGGAATCAGAAAGCATGAAAACTTTTGGGAATAGCTTTTTCCATTTGTATCTGAATTAGTAAAAGTAATGCTGTGATGCTGTGACTGACTGAGATAATTCGTGGAAGAAAGAGTTTATCTGGGTTCATGGTTCCAGGGGGATAAGAATCTATCACAACTGAGAGGCGTGGAGGCAGAAGCTGAAAGCTGAGAGCTCACATCTCTAATGGCAACCAGGAAGCAGAGAGCCCAAAACTGGGAGTGGGCAAGAATATGAATTCCCAATGCCAACCCCAGTGACAAGCTTTCTCCAGTAAGGCCACACCTCCCAAAGGTTCCATGACCATCCCCAAACAGCACCATCAATTAACCAAGTGTTCAAACACTTGAGCCTATGAGAACCATTTCTCATTCAAACAATCACAGCATCATTCTCCAGAAAGTATCCAGATTCCCTGTTACCAATGCTTCATCCCTGTACATTCCTGAGCAGGATTCCATGAAACATTGAAAGCCATTTGCTGAAGGATGTTTGGATTCTTTTTAGTTCGGGGCTACTATAAAGAAAGATTCTATAAATATTCATGTACACATTACAGTGTAAGCCTGAGTTTTCATTTCTGTGGGCTGAATGCCCAGAAGTGTTAACTTCTGGGTTACACAATTAGTGCCACATTTGGTTAAAAAACTATTGAAGTGTTTTCCATGGTGACTGGGACCATTACAGTTCTCCACCACATTGAGTGACACACCTTTTCTGTCTTTATCCGAATCTGGGATTGTCACTGTTACTTGTGTATTTGCCCATCTGTAAATCATCATAGGCATGCCTGATCACAATCCATTTCCTAATTGGCTGTATTTTACTTTTGAGTGGTGATATATATATATGTATATA